AAAGCCTACTGGTACCTTTTCAAAATCTAGCAGGAATCAACAAGCTAAAAGAGAGACATTTTTTTCTCCAGTTTCTACTGCCATCGTCCAACTATTCTGCTATGTACTATGCTTTGGCATTGCATGCTATATGGAATGGCCGCTTTGGCACTTCCCGTACATTTGCTATGGGGTATTTACCGTTATCGCTTCTATCAATATAGCGTCATGTATTGGATGTATCGAGGGGAAGTACATAAAGTCAGATAATGACACCAAGGCCGACAATTCAGACTTTGAAGCTTTTGCTCGCATTGATATCGGAATCAAGCACCATAAGTTGCTGATAAAGCTCATTGGCTTATTTTGCGCTGTGAGTTTGGCTTTCCTTTCCAGCCTGATGTATGAATGTACTCAATGTGATAGCAAATGGATGCAGACTGCCATCCTTGCTATTGCCAGTACTTGCCCTTATTTTACCTTTAAGAAGGATATGACAATGCTAAAGGTAGATCATCGCTGCAATGTCATCAGAGAATCTTCTAATGATAAGTGCATTGCCATTCAAAGGCGGCCAGTTGCAGTTTTTGTGTTCGTCATGGTTTTGGTCATCTTACTGTTGCCTCGGTGTAAGGAGCCTAATTGAGCGTTGCTGTTTTTAGAATAGATGAGGTGACGGTTTTGGCCGCCATCTTGTCCGGTAGGCATAGTGTCGCAAAAGAACAAGGAATGACCGGGAAATCGATGTCAAATTATTCCCGCTGAATTCAATTTCGGAAAGAGTTATCAATTATTGCAAACGTTAGATACTGTAAAATGGAGTTAACTGGCCAAATTTGAAGGGCGTACTTGATTTAGAGAGCGAGTAAACTCATTTTTAGTTCCCCATACATTTCTTTATAATTTCCGAGGTCATCAGCGCGTGACGCGCGTGAAAAATACAAAGAAATGTATTTAGAACTAAAAATAAATTTTCTCGCTCCCTAGATGAAGTACATCGACCTTCAAATGGCCAGGTAATTCCTTTTTGTAATATCTAACGTTTGAATTAATAATTCCTTCTGAATTTGAATTCAGCGGGAATTATTTGACATCGATTTCACGGTCATTCCTTGTTATTTTGCTTTTTGCGACACTATCGCCTACCGGTCCAAGATGGCGGCCAAAACCGTCACCTCATCTATCGCGCGCTTTTTGAAAACTTTATACTCCAGTTTCGAGATCTTATTTCTGCAGCCTTTACCTCGTTGACATGTTATATATTCTTTTATTCAGCAGAGATCCTATTGTAGTGCAAACACTCTGTGTACAAAGAAGCCAATAAAAATTTATGCTTGATTGACTTGCGCAAACGAGAGTTCGAAACGGGAGTTTTGCATTAGATAACTTTAAATTCCTTTTTTTAAGGAAGTGGCGATTCTTACGGTAAATGATGGTCTGCGGTTTAAAACCCTACCGCGATGGATAAGACCCTGCTGCGCCAGTAATTCATAGGCATAAGAAGCTTACTACATACAATATAACGATAGAAAAATAAAGAACCCAGCCCCCCCAAAAAAATTTTCACCTTTTCGATAGAGTTGTTATTTTTTTTATACTCATTAAATAAATAATCTGACTAATTTTCACAGAGCCACCAATATTTTTTTGTTTACGCCGTCCATGTACTCGGCACGTGACAAACAAGAAAAAGTTCTAGAGTGTTGCCGACATTATATTTGACTGAAAACGCACTTGTAATTCAGAAGTATCGAGTCCGACAGTTCTGATACTATCCACAGATATCCATTTCACAGAAATGTAAAGAGATTAATTACACTAAATCATAAGTATTATTAACGAGGACTAGGCATCTTAATCTCATTTTAGCATTAAATTTGCTTATTTTAGTATTACAATACACGTAATTGATAAAATGAGTGCAATAAAATCTGACAATTTTGCATTAGATAGACATCTTTCTCATCCACAATGCATACTTACCTCTATTAAATCCGCATGTTATCGGGAGAGGCATTTCATTTTATGGGTAGAGCTTCCATTGACTCGTAAAAAAAATAATCTATATATAGAATATATGAAGCTTTGTTCTTTTTTTTTTTAAGGCCCGTTTACACTTGCAATTTTTGCAGTGCGATTGTCGCGCGACAATCGCCTTAGTTTCGAACATGCTTATTAAAATTTAGCTGCAACTACGATTTGAGGTGCGAGAGAACAAAGTACCGATTAATTGTCGGTAATTGCGACAATCCCGCTGCAAAAATTGCAAGTGTAAACGGCCCTTTAGGATGAAGAAGTGCTTCATCTGTTGTTGTTGTTTAACATAATTAGAGAAATTGCAAAATTTCGTTTTAGTGATCAGTCGGTAATTTCCTAGCTCTAAGGATGATTTTTTGGGGGGGAATGTTTGATGAGCTATGGGCAAAGATCTTTTATTATATGGACCCATGAATCCGCCTTTTATTCAATGTATTGTTTGATAAAATGAAATAACAACTGATTTACACTGTGAGATAGTCTGTGGTAAACATTGGCTCCATCTAGCCTCCATTTCTATGTGGTGAATCCATGCAATAGGTGAAATTTTGCCTTTTTCAAAACAGTGTAACCATAGTCCCTTTCGGTCGTGCAATCTCCCTTCGACAATCGCCGTTTTTGCCGTTTGCCATTCTCTCCGACAGCGTTTTTTGAAATAGCTGTATATATAAGATACCATATGCATGTGACGTGCGCATGTTTTATTGACGTAAATAGACGTTGAATGTGCATTGCAGGAACGACAAATGAATACGAAACCTACACTTCTGCACCATTAAGAAGATTAATCAATAATTTTTCTTGTCTATATTTCTCAGACCAGTATGACGATGATATAGTCCATATATCTACAGCTAATCTAGCGTAGTCTTCTTCATCGTACACTATCGCATGTTCGCGCAAACACAGAATATGTAAATAAGAATTTTTTTATTAGCGTAAGGTTAAGGTCTCTATAATATAATATCACATACTGACAAAGAATAAAGACCAAACTCTTATCGTAATACTGAACAGTACAACTTGAAATATAAAATTATCAACAACAATTAAACCTCTATTAAAAAACGTCAAAAGCTATTTAAAAAAATCGACAAGGCAAAAAATCACGCGCGTTGATGGATATATTAGTGGATTAGTGRTAATAAGTTAGGCAATGATTGATGGYTAAATCCCTTTAGATTTACTGCTTAAACAGGCAATTATTTTTGTTTGTCCTTACTGGAATGCTGCTTCAATAAGGGAATGATGCTTTYATTATTAGCCTCGATAAAATTGATGAATTGCGATTATAATTCATATCTCGATATTCTCCCGTAAATCACCATCCTCTTAATGTTACCTATTATCATCAATTTGTAGTAAATACGAATTTGCTAATAATCAATTGACGAAACGACCGTTAAAACAGATTCCAAGATAGTCAACTGTGTATTGAAAACATCTAACTTGACTCTCGGCTATTTTCAAGTTCGCGCTGTCCTTTTCTTCTTCCATAAGACAAATGTCCTCCCTGAAAATTTAGTTTTGGATCAGTTAGGTTATTCGTTATTTTATCGTTGTTCTGTCATTATTAACCATTATCAAGGAAAATAAAAGAGCTTTACTTTGTTCCATTAGTAAAAGGTTCGTTAAGTTAAAGGATGACACAATAAGCACCTTGTTTGGCGATATCCTCATCTCCGGTAATCCCAAAATGTTTGCTCATGAAGCCGTTAAGATACTGGTGCATAGCTTTGTTACCCTCTTTCTCGGCAATTCCCAATGCAGTATCGCCGTCATAAGTCCTCTTCACGATTATATCAACACCGTGATGCAGCAAAGCCTCTGCTTCTTTGATGCTACCATTTTTTGCCAGGTAGTGAAGTGCATTCCATCCTTTTTTGTCAACGACATGTTTATCGGCTCCTTGTTCAATGAGAAAGTCAATCACATCTGAGTGACGATTTTGAGACGCTAAATGCAAAGCAGCTTTTCCATCAAGCGTTGGGCTGTCTGGCTGTGCGCCAACCTTCAGTAGTACTTCTACAACGTTCACGTGACCTTCGCCGCTTGCATGGTGTAATGCATTCATTCCCGAGTCATCCACTGCGTTAACATCGACACCTTTCTTGATGAGGTATTCAACGACGTTAACTTGACCCTTCATCGAGGCACAATGCAGCAGTGTATAACCCTTACTGTTTTTATAGTTGGGGTCTACGCCATGTTGGAAGATAGCCTCTACTACACCTATATGGCCTTCTATGCATGCCAAATGGATCGCCGTCCAATAATTGGAGTCTTCAGCTTGAAAGTTTGCATTGCGTGACAGTAAAGGTGTGACAGCTTCTGTATGACCACGGCATGCGACAATGTGCAAGGCAGTGGAACCTTTGCTAGTGGGGCAATTGACGTCGACACCGAGTTCCAAGAGAAGATCAATTATTGGTACATACCCATGTTCGCTTGCAATGTGAAGGGAATTCAAACCTTCTTGAGTGGTAACATACTCATCTGCTCCCTTAGAAAGTAGAACTCGAATTGCGTCCAAATGGTTACGTTGAATTGCTAGATGAAGTGGAGTTAGTCCTTCAAAGGTACGGCAGTTTGGATCCACTTCGTGGTCAATCAGAGCACATATTGTTGAGAGATGACCCGCTTGACTAGCATAGTGCAATGAGTTCCATCCATTTTCATCTCTCAAGTTCACGTCTGCATTGTGTTCAATAAGGAATCTCACTGCATCGGCGATACCACCACTTGCAGCACTGTGAATTGGTGCAATGCCCTTTTCAGTTTGAGCATTGACATCCATTCCATGGTTGATTAGAGTTTCAACCACGCCTACTTCACCGTTTCTACTGGCGTAGTGCAAAGGCGTCATTCCATTGTTATCTACGACGTGAAGATCGCCACCACGTGGGAGAAGGAATTCCAGAATGTCTGGATGCCCACGAAGAGCTGCTATACAGACTGGTGTCATGCCACATTTAGTGCGTATGTTGATATCTAGACCCTTGCGAAACAACGCTTCGATTGCTCCTGTGTGGCCACCTTTACAGGCATGATGCAGGGCATTCCATCCCTGTTTGTCCTCAATGTGAAAATCGGAACCATTTTCAAGTAGATATTCCAGAATTTCCTGGTGACCATGTCGAGCAGCAATATGCAGTGGGGTAATTCCAGACTTGGAACGTACATCAAGGTCTACTCCTTGCTGTAAAATCATTTCTAGGGAAGAAGTGGACAGCCTACCGCCTTGGCTGGCGTAATGAAGCACTGTCCATCCTTCATTATCTGTAAGTTTAACATCAGCACCCTTCCTTAATAAATATCCAACCACTTCGCTGTGGCCGTAGCGAGCTGCGATCTGAAGGGCTGTTGATCCTTGCTTAGTTTTAATGTTTATGTTTATTTGTAATTTCAAGAGCAATCGAATAATTGGAACGTGACCTCCTAAGCTCGCAAAATGTAAAGCAGTCCATCCGAACTCATCGGCAGAGCTGATATCAGCGCCCTTATTGGCCAAAAAGTCCACTGCCTCGGGGTATCCATGACAACCTGCAATCATTACTGGTGTACATCCTCCATTAATTCGAGAGTCTGCTTGAATGCCGCTGACCAGAAGCGTGTCAATGACGCCGACATGGCCTTTTTGACAGGCAGTGTGAAGTGCGTTCCAGCCGTCATTGTCTACAGCATTTTTATCACAGCCCTGTTTAATAAGAAAATCCACTGCGTTTGAATGTCCATTCATAGCAGCTTTATGTACAGGAGTGTTTCCATCGGTAAGTGGCACGTGTTGGTGGAAGCCATATTGAATTAGAACATCAATAACTGACACGTGACCTGCCTCACTTGCAAGGTACAGTGAGTTTTTCCCTTGTCCATCAAGGGCATTCCCATCTGCTCCGTGTTTTATTAGCAAGTCGATAGCCTTCTCACTGCTGCTCTGAGAGGCCAGATGTATCGGCATTGTACCGTTTTTAGTTTTACTATTTGGATTTGCTCCTGCTCGGAGTAAAGCATTGATGACTTCTGCATGGCCACCTTTACATGCCCAATGCAGCGGTGTCATGCCATCATCATCTACTGTATTGATGTTTGCTCCGAGGTTGATAAGGTAACGAACTGTATCAAGGTTACCATGTCTTGATGCGATGTGTATTAAGGCCATTCCATTTGCTTTGACATCAATATGCGGAATCTAGGATARGAAATATARGTATTTCATAGATAAATTATATGATAAATGATATTATCCTTCTTTTCGAATAAGAATGTCAATAATGGCAGTAAGAATGACTTAATTGAAAACTTTATAGAAAAAAAAACCTTATCATAATATAGTGAATGAGCCTACGTATACATGCATGGTGACATATGGATAAAAATGATTAAATATAAAAAAAATATAACATACATTGCACAAGATACTCTCGAGAATAACTAATCAGTTTTTAAAATCGTTTAAAGCCGAAATGAGAAATATACGGGTGTCAATGTCCTTACAATTAGTTCCAGTCTTCGGCGCACTAATTACGCGGTCAAAAGAGGTCCTCATAGTCGGCCTCATTACATCACCATCTTCCACAGTAAAGTTTTTTTTTTAATATTAACCTTATAAAGAAGTTTCTTGATTATACGATTGTTTCCATTTCTGCACGCCTGATGGAGCTGAAATAAACTCTGTAAGTCTACTTTAACTACTCCTTCATGATGCGCCGTCACCATATTCGAGCCTCATTGCCCCCTCGTTGATCTTCAGTAAACCCTCAGTGGAACAATTCTAAAAAAAATTCAATKATTCAGTTATTATTCCGTCGGACGTTTGACTCTCTTCACCGTAACGTTTCACATTATGCTGTCATTACCGTAAGGTCTTTAACTGTTATTAATGTATGTTTTACACTGTCATTCACCTTAACGTTTTATATATAACCGTAACGTTTTATA